GCCGCTCTGAGGCCGAGGCCTTTCTGAAGCCCTCGTCCGACTTGAAGCGGATAAACGATATGCCCTTCGGCTTGCCGTCCGGCATCTGGCGCGAGCGGGGACCGCTGCCGCGCCGCTCTCGCCCCCTCTTGCTTCGCCGAGCAGGCGTGGGCGTGCCTAGGCCCGCGGAGGATCCGCTGTGGCCCAGCAGGGGACACTGCCCTTGGCAGCTGCATGTATCGGGGGGGGGAGGAGGAGGAGGAGGAGGAGGAGGAGGAGGAGGAGGAGGAGGAGGAGGAGGAGGAGGAGGAGGAGGAGGAGGAGGAGGAGGAGGAGGAGAAAGAGGAGGAGGAGGAGAAGAGGAGGAGAAGGAGGAGGAGGAGAAGGGAAAAGAGGACTCCTGATCATCCTTCTGACTGTCCCTCTACCCATCCAGCGCAACACCCGAGTTACACCACTCGAAGCGCTCCTGATCGGCGGCGCAGACTGGAAGCCACTGCAATACTTTCGGTGGGGGCGGGACGCCACTTGAGCGACGAAAAGAGACGGGTTTTACGCGAGATGGCATAGCGACCATACGCGGTGGCTCACGCAGGCCGCCAGCACGGAACTCTACATGGGAAACGAGGGTGCTCACGCGCGGCCTTACGCGGGCAGCTTGCGCGCCAACGTCGGCGAAGACGAGTTCTACAGCGCTAACTGTGCCACTTGTGTGCAAAAGGCTGTGTACTTCGCCAAACGCTTGTGCGCTCGACATGAAAGGCGAGGCGGCTGGCGCGCCGCCGCGAGACAATCCGATCTGCCACGGCCGCGGCCAGGTGGCCGGTCGGTCGGTCGGTCGCGGCGCCAAAGGCGCCGAGCCGACGCTTCCGTCACACAACGAGGAAAGGCGGGTGGACGCGTCGGCCCTCCCACCCGGCCCGCCTGATAAGATACTTTCCCGGTCACCCCGACGCCAGGGCCGGGAAGGTTCGGGGGGGTCTCGGGGGCGGCCTCCATGCAACATTGCTCAAAGCCGTCTGCCGCTCACATGGTGGGCTTGCCGCCTCTATGCCGCTGATGATTGGGGCGCCTGCCGCGCGTCTGCCGCTCATGATTGGCGCGCCTGCCGCCCATGTACCGCTTATGATCGGCGCGCCCCTGCCGCTTCTCTCTGGCGCCCCTTCCGCGCACCTGCCGCCGTAGGGAGAAGCCGGCCGCGGGGAGAAGGGAGGAGAAAACATGAGAAAAAACTGCGCGGGCACGTTCGAAGGTCCACGCGGACTTCTTGGATCGGAGCCGGGCCCCCCTCTCCCCTGGCGCGGGGCAGGGGGGAACCCAGCGCCAGCCCAAGAAAATCTGCGCCGACCTTCGAACGCTGCACTTGTGCACATGTCTTTTTCGAGTGGAAGGAAGAGCCGAGTCGACGCGCCTGTATCTAGAGAACTCTGGACTTGGGTCCGAGCACACAGGGTCGGAGGATTGCGCCGCATCGCTGACGATGCCTCGGCGACGTCAGGGTGGAGGAACTCGGGCTCCAAATCGAGCCGCATCGCCAGTGTACCCGCGATGCGGCGTGATCCTCCGACCCCATCTGCTCCAGCTCCATCTGGGAGGCCTGGAGCACCTGACCCTGTAGGCTTAGGTCGGGCCTGTCCTCCTACAGGCGGAGTTTGGACGAGCAGAAAAGTAGACAATAGCTATTCAAAACTATTCGAAACATCATCAAAACACACAAAAAAAACAAAAAACAAAAAAAACAAAAAACATCCCCGCACTATGTTGTGACTATCTCTGACTTTTTCTCCTGTAGAGGGACATGCCCGACATGCCCAGGAGCGACCAGGGCAAAGGCGGGCCGTTTCGGCCCCGCCGGGGGCAGAGCAGGACGGAGGACCCCAACGGCCGCATCTGACTGGGCCTCGGGTGCGGAGCGCGCCCCCGCTCCGATCGGCGGACTGCCCTGGAGCAAACCGGACGGAGTGCAGAGGCCAGAGCGACATGCAGCGGGTCCACGCTGCGATCGCAGATGGGCCAGCAGGAAATTCTGGCACGACGTCCCACCAGCGTGCATCCCGCCCGTCCTCTTGTCGAACGACACCACCCCAAAACCTGGGTTGCATCTTCGGGGGACCTTGTCTGTCCCATCACGCCATGTGTGCATCGAATCCGTGCCGAATCCACTTCGGACCCGTCGAGACAGTGTCGAATCTGCGTCGAACCCGCGTAGAGTCCACGCCAAGTTCGCGTCGAGTCCGCATCGAGCCCGCGCTGGGCATAGGATAAAGACGCCAATGACAGACGAGGTCCCCCGAAGATGCAGCGTGCAAAAATTGCCGAAAATGGAAGAGCGAGGCGGGGAGGATCGGCGACTCCGAAGGGTGTGGCTTGCAAAGGGTATGGCTTGCAACCCGCACCCTCTGAGGCAGCAAGAGAGGACCTTGGCAGAGTTCTCCGCCGCGCCCCGAGGAAGCCCAACGAGGGCGACGTGGTGCCTCCCAAGCCCCAACGGCGCCGATCGTAAACCACACCCCGGCGTAACCACACCCTTTGTTTTCTGTTCCTTCCCCACACTCCAGCAATCCTCGTGGCCATGCTTGGATCATAATTAATTCCTCTGGTATGCGATGGTCGCATCACCGACCTGGTCCAAAACTCGAAGACCTGATCTGCCACGGAACACCTGATCTCTCACGTAACCACACCCTGTGCAGTCGCCGAAAGGAGGAGCCGAGCCGAACAGCCGCCCGCCGGCGTCCAAAGGGCTGGGCAGCCTGGCGCGGCACGCGCCGGCCCTGGGACGCGCCAGGCGGCGGCTCCCCGGCGCGCCCGGCGCGCCGTGCTGCCGTGCTGGGCGTCGGACGGGTCGCTGCGGACGTCGGCAGCGCGCTTTTCGGGGGCCACGGCAGGTGCGGTCAGCCTCGAAGCGACAAATCGGATCCGCTCAGAGCGGGCATCCGATCGGGACGTATCGGCACGGTGTCGAAAACGAATCGACTCGGCCGCGCCAGGGTGCACATCAGCGCCACGCGAGCATCGGGACGCATCGGATCGTCGGAATTTCGGAATCGAATCAGATCAGGCCCGCCCGCATCGACATCGACTCGGATCGACGGGGCGTCGGCAGTGCGACTTTCGCGAGCCACGGTGGTTGGCGGTGACGAGGCGTCGGCAGTTCGACGTTTCGGGGGTCACGATGGTTCACGGTGACGGGGCTTTCCTGGGGGCGGGACCAAACAGGGACCATGACCAAGACTGGACGCGGAAACGTCGTGTTGATCCTGGTCAGCGTCGATCCTGGTCAGCGTCCGCTCGTGGATCGTCCTCGCGAGTGGGCGACGGCCGGATAGGGACCATGACCAAGATCGCCATCGACAAAATCCCGCGACGTCTTGGCCATGGCCCCCGTGCTTCTTCCCCAGACCAGGCGGCGAGCCCGGGTGGGCAGAAAGCAGGGGCGGGCCTTCTCAGAAGGCTCGGAAGCCCCCCGGCCATCTGAGAAGTTTTTGAGCCTTCGAAGCCTTCCTCGATGCCTTCGGCATTCTCACACGACTCACCGTTCCGGTTGTGCTGCCACGCCCCACCCCCCTCCAACGCCTGCCTCGTAGCCGCCAACTCAGCCGGTAGAGAGTACACCGTCTTCCCACCGTACGTCCCCAATGCAGCCAACGCCATCGCTCGGCGGCGAGCGAGGGGGAAAGTGAGAAGGGGCGGGCCTTCTAAGAAGGCTCGGAAGCCCCCCAGCCCTCTGAGAAGTTTTGTTGAGCCTTCCCCGAAGACACACAGAAAAACCTATCAGAAGGCGCGAGGGCGTCCGAGAAGCCCCGCCGCCCTCTGAAAGGCCTTCTCCTTCTCACTTCCCTCCCCCCCTCCTCCTCCGCCTCCTCCTCCTCCTCCCTCCTCCTCCTCCTCCTCCTCCTCCTCCTCCTCCTCCTCCTATTCTCCTCATCATCATCCTCCGCCTCATCATCATCATCATCATCATCATCATCATCATCATCATCATCATCATCATCATCATCATCATCATCATCATCATCATCATCATCATCAGCAGCAGCATCATCATCATCATCCGCCTCCTCCGCCTCCTCCACCTCCTCCGCCTCTTTCGCCTCCTCATCATCATCATCAGCATCATCATCCTCAGCATCATCATCATCATCATCATCATCATCCTCATCATCATCATCATCAACATCATCATCCTAATCATCAGAATCATCATCATCATCATCATCATCATCATCATCATCATCATCATCATCATCATCATCATCATCATCATCAACATCAACATCAACATCAACATCAACATCATCATCATCCTCATCCTCTTCGCTCCTCCTCATCATCCTCCTCCTCTTCCTCCTCCACCTCCTCCTCCTCGCTCCTCCTCGCTCCTCCTCCTCCTCGTTCCTCCTCGCTGACCCGCCGATGGATCGCCCCATCCCCCCCTCGTCCGCCTCGGGGGCTCGCGGCAACGACATGGTGCTCCAGGCCGCAGCCGCCCAGAGGGGTCCACCCCCCGCCTCGCAACGGCGCGCCGCGATCCGCGAGTGCCGGAGCGCCCTCGGCACGCGCTGTGTTCGCCACAGGGGGTCGATCTGAGGCGGTCGGTGCGGGGAGCGCCCCCCCGCCCCACAGCCCTTCTTTCGGAGCTCGGGTCAAGGCGGCTGTGATGCCAAAGCTGCGAGCCGGCAGCGAGCGGGGGGGGGAAAGGAGAAAGAGAAGGCCTTCTCAGAAAGCGCCAAGGCTTCTTGAACGCCCTCGCGCCTTCTGAGAGGTTTTTTCTGTGTGTCTTCGGGGGAGGCCGAGAAGTCTTCTCACAAGGCTGGGGGGCTTCCGAGCCTTCTGAGAAGGCCCGCCCTTCTCACTTTCCCCCCTCGCTCGCCGCCGAGCGATGGCGCTGGCTGCTTTGAGGACATACAGTGGGAAGACGGTGTACTCTCCACCGGCTGAGTTGGCGGCTACGAGGCAGGCGTCGAAGGGGGGGGGCGTAAAAGCATAACCAGAACCGTCCGTTGTGTGAGAATGCCGGATGCGTCGAGGAGGAAACGCAATAATGGCAGCACGCACGAGGTTGGAGAATGTAAGGATGGAGTATACACAGGCGTGCAAGTAGCTCGGATACTGAATTTGCGAGCCACGTGGAGAAACCAAAACCGTCCATGAGGAGTGCTGCGATACCAGACGGCCGCCAACATGCTAGCAACCCCAGAACCCAACTTGCTGTCATAGATAACACAAAAAAAACGTTGAGCGGGTGTTGTGTCCGTATCAGTATCGATATCCGTAGGTGGGAATTCGACTCGGTGGAGGGCATGTTGGCATTGGTACGGCTTCCACGCTGAGAATTATCGTGCCAGAATTCCTGGTGTTAAAGCTGCTGAACGACGCGATGTCGCAAGGCCCCATTAAGGCAAACAGAGGGTAGACACGTCCTGCTACTGAAGTCGAATCGCTCTGACTGTGCAGACCACACCATATTGAAGATGAAGAGTAGGGTGATGGTAACAAACGGAGTTGGCGTGTCGCTGTGCCGCTTGGTGTGCATCCTCTGCCCGCAAACGCAGGAGTTGAACGGCTGCGTCGCGGGTAGCTTGGATTCGTGCGCGTTACATGGGCGTCAGGCCTATCCCATCGCAAGGCGTTGCTGGGTAGTGCTCGCGTCGGCCGTGCGAATGTATCTGGAGTTTCAGAAGCCAGGCCATGCTGTCAGACTGTAACTGCCGGTTGTGGGCACAGAAGCCCATGGCAATCGTAGTGGCAGGCGCTTTGAAGTCCTCGCGCTCCATGTCGTTTCTGGTAGTGGCAAACAAAATGTTCGGCTGCTCTGCAAAGTCGCTGGAAACGAAGTCGGCGGCATCGGCTGCAGTCGTGCCCTCCCAAGCAATGGCGAATCCATGGTTCGGGCCCCAGCAATGATCTGGCACATGTGGGGCGGACAGCGTTTCTTGGGAGCCGTGCGCCATTGGCCTGTCGCGGAGTCTTTGCCACTGAGGGTGGGGTGCGCACCAGACCCCTGGTTGCATCTGCCTTGGCTGCCCAGGGGCATGAACTGCGTGCTTAGCGTGGGCATTCGAACTGCCCGTTGATTTGCAGGGGCGTCCTTGGCACGTTGACAAGAATCGCACTGGCCGAAGGCCTTGAAGGTGACTGCAGGGCTGGACTGGAGGGCGCGTACTTTAACGCGGTGCCAAGAAACTGATGCACATGATCTACGATGTGTTTGTTCTGGGCGCTCCAGCATTTTCATCGTACCTGCGTGGAGGACCAACAATAGGGGGCAGCACATGCTGTAGCTCGTGCCGGCGATGGTACGTTCGAAGGCGTGTTGGATGTCGCCGTAACGGCGTGCACTATGTATGTGATGTAACACACCGACGGAGTCGTAGAGATCGGGAAAGGATGGAATAGTGTCAGCAGCAGCGTCACAGTATTCATGCAACCTGAACAAATACAAGTCAAAATTATTTAGGTCCCAGTTGTCGTAAGCTGCTCGTGATGCCAACGGACATCATGGGCACACCCGAGTGGCTGATTGTTCCGGATGCTCGATCGGACGGGCGATGGAGGCTTACCAGGGTCTCCATAATCACAATAGTGCCATGCTACATTACAACGCCACCCCTGATCTCCAAGAGCTCCACCAGCACGACGAAGGGCAACGCGATTTCAGGAAAAGTGGCGCCCACGCCTGGTAGATCATGCCGGGAAGCCTGCGGAAAACTAGGATGTCACAGATGAGTGCCGACCACAATAAGATGTTCACCCCTTCCAAACACAACAGCCAGAAATGGTAGCCATGAGTTGGGTACGCCCACGGAGGGATCGGTCGGGGGCAAGGCCGTGCCCTTACGGCTCCTCCCCGTGGGACGGATGTCGTTGAAGGCGTTCAGGAACAACCAGAAACTCAAATGAGTGTGAAAACATACAGCGCGAAGACCGCCGTAAAAGACCACAAAGCCGCCACTGTCGGAACACGTCAAAGACGAAAATGGCGCGGCAGTGCTGAATTCCGCATTGCCCAGTGCTCCTGCTAGCAAAGCAGTGAAGAAAGGAAGCACGCGAATTGACGCTGGGCGCCACGATTTTGAAACCCGACGATGACAAAGAGGTGCCCCCAGCCGTACGAGAACTGTCCAGACTACACAAAGACCATACTATGTTTTTATATATTAATATCATCTGTATATATGATAATATATGAGAGAGCGTGATCCACCGCCACTGTACTGTGGAAAATTCCCCCGCCTGCTGGAACCCCCCCACTTCCCCCCGGCAAACACCCCCCCTAACCCCTTCCCCCCCCCTCCGGAAAACCGGGGGGGTCACTACCAATCCGACCACCCCCACCCCCTCCAGAAAACTGGGGGGGGGTCACTACCGCCCACCCTCCTCCAGAAAACCGTGGGGGGTCACTACCGGTTCGAACCCCCCCCCTCCTCCCCTCCAGAACCCCGGGGGGGTCACTACCGGTTCGAACCCCCCCTTCCCCCTCCAGAACCCCAGGGGGGGTCACTACCGGTTCGAACCCCCCCCCACCGCCGGCAAACGACTCCCGGGGCCCCACCGCCGTCCGCATCACATTCCCCCTGCTGTCCCCAGCACCACTGTCCCCACCACCACTATTCCCCCCACTGTTCCCACCACCGTCCCCAGTGTCCCCACCAGTGCCCCCCCACCACTGTCGCACTGTCCCTATTGTCCCCACCACTGTTCCCACCACGGTCCCATTCCCCACGGTCCCAACCACTGTCCCACTGTCCCCACTGTCCCACTGTGCCCGCCGCTGTCCCACTGAGCTGTCCCACTGTTCCCACCACTGTCCCCAGTCCCCACCACTGTCCCCACTGTCCCCACTGTCCCCACCACTGTCCCACTGCCCCCACTGTCCCCACCACTCTCCCCACTGTACTACTGCCCCACCACCGTCCTCACCACCGCCTGCACCACTGTCCCCACCACTACCGTCCCCACCACCGTCCCACTGTCCCCACTGTCCCCACCACTGTCCTGCTGTCCCCTAACAATTGTTCCCGCCACCACTGTCCCCACCACTGTCCCACTGTCCGCACCACTGTCCCACTGTCCCCACACCACTGTCCCCACCACCACCGTCCCCACCACTGTCCGAGTATCCCCACCACTGTCCAACTGTCCCGAGGAGCGGGAATCGTTTGCCGGCGGCGAGGGGGGGGGCGTCGAACCGGTAGTGACCCCCTCCCCTTTTCATGATGGACTGGAGGGGGGGGAAGGGTTCGAACCTGTAGTGACCCCCCCCGGTTTCCGAGGGGGGATGGGGGGGACGGGTTGGGAACCCCAGTGACCACCCCCCCTGTGGTTTTCCGCCAGCAGCGGTAGAACACGCTCTTTCTAATATACATAGATACATATATAAATATGATTGGTTCATTTAATAATAAATTAAAACCAAAAAAACGGGAAAGAGAGAGAGAGAGAGAGGAAAAAAAAAAAAAAACTGCGCTTCGTCCAATTCTACCACCGTGGTCGGCCACACATACACGCACACATACACACACAGCGAGTCGAAGACGCGGTGACAGCCAAGAGCTTCGTTTTGGCACTGGACGCGACTCGGAAGCTACGCTGGTCGAGCAAGATGCTACGGACGAGCCTCGAGCCAGCGCTCGATCGGACGGGCGAGGAGGGAGGGTGGGGAGGGAGGAGGGGGGGATGGGAAGGAGGGAGGAGGGAGGAGGGAGGGAGGGAAGAGGGAGGAGAAGGAATGGACCAGAACACAAACAACACCCAACCTACGGCCCCACGGAGCTCAGCGTATACCAGAAAAGCTGGCGCGGGTGTGGTATGCTCTACGGCGCCCGATGGGCCGTAGCGCAATATGCAGGGCCGTAATTGAGTGGGGTGGTTTCGTTTGTTTCTCTTGGTCGAAGGAAGGCGGGAGGGAGGAGGGGGAGGAGGGATCCTCCCCAGACCCGCGCCCCAGTCGCCTGCAACATCTTAAGGAAGTCTATCTCCCCGCACTGTTCGAAGTCAGATCTCAGCTTGTCCTCTTCCACGGTGAACGACAAGCCTCACAGGAAAGTGGGAACGATGAGAAGAAGGAGGATGAATAGGAGGAGAGGAGAATGAGGAAGCAGAGGAGGCGGAGGAAGAGTCCGCTCTAAGAGTGTCCTCTGCCCGCGCGAAGGATAAGTCTCCCAGAGAGAACTACGGGCACGAAGAAGAATCGACAGCACGGGGACCAGGCCGAGAGGAGGCTGGGGGATCGAAGCGAGGGGAAGGCAAGGCAGGTTGCACCGTTCGAAAACAGCACGAGCCCTGGATGGGAAGACACTAGGCGAGGGGGATTACGACAGCTGGCGGCGCGCATAAGGGGGCAGGGGGAGGGATGAAGGCCTCTCAGAAGGAGGCTACTTCTCAGAAGGCGCCGGCCTTACATCTACAGAGAGAGCCCGCGCCGTCGAAGGAGCAGGGCTGCTCCTAAGAAGCTCCCCCCCTCCCCCTGCAGCCGAAGCCTGGCCACAAGAACGTGGGTCAAGAATAATTTAGGAGCACCCTCGCCGAGGGACTGAAGGCCCATAGGGGAGACCCCAAAAAGGAGAACATCTCATAAGGTTAGGTCGGGCATATCCCCCTACACCCTACAGAGGGACTTTCGGCGAGAATGAAAAATACTCTTACAATGCCCAAAAATTGTCAAAAATACTCGAAAAATCGTCCCCTGACTATCTTCAAATATTTTTGAATATTATTCCTGTAGAGGGACAGGCCCGACTTAACTCCAAGGTGGAGAGACCACGGCCGAAGAGCAGAAGGGTGCCCCTCCAAAGCTGGGGCTGCTCTGAACCCTCGTGCTTGCTGTTCCCCCCTCTGCGCGGGGCCGACCCTCGACGGGAAGACGCTGGCCCAGGAGGAGTACGACAGGCTCACGTCGCGAGGACGCCGGCGTTTGCTTCTGACACCGCTGCACCGGTCGCCGGTGCTTGAGGCCGCCTTCGCGCGCCCGACTCGCCACTCCTCGGCGGCCCGAGCCTCTCGCGGGGGACGACGGGGCAGGATAGCAAAGGGTAGGGTAGAGAAGCAGCTCACGGTAGCTGGTTTTTCCCCCTCGTGCAGAGGCTGGGGTAGAGAAGCAGCTCACCAAGCTGGGGCTGTTCCTTGCCCTCGCGCTTGCTGTACCCCCCTCTGCGCGCGGCTGATGAAGGCTCCCGATCGGCCCTGGCACCGCCCGCGCTGGCGTTGCCGCCGAGTCGGCGCGGCGCGAGACCCGAGACCCGTGTGCCGAGGCGCTGGCCCGAGGGCCGGGGGCCCAACCCCTTGGCCGTGGGGGGAGTGAGCGCCTCTGGAGGGGAAACGAACGGGGGACAGGACCAAGACTTCGGGAAGTTTCAGGTTCGGGGTTCGAGGTTCTCGGACGTTCTCGTCGGTCCTCGGCGGCTTCCCAGCCTGGGGATCCTTGCCAGCAGCTGCGCCTCACCGAGAGCGCTCCGGGGTTGCCCAGATCGTCCCGAACGGCCGCCTGAGACCCGAGTTATAACCCAAAAACCAAATTCGGCGGCGCGCCCCGGGGGCAGACAACGGGGACCATGTTCAAGACATTCTTTTTCGCGGAAAATAAGCATGAACCCCTGAGCTTGTCACCACAATGCGCAGCGGAGAAGCGTGAAGCAGGAGGCGGCCGAGGAAGAGGACAACGCAGAGGCCGCAAGCGGGCGCCGAAAAGGCGCCCCCCGGCATAGCGCCCCAGGGAACCAGGACCAAGACTGAACGCCGACGTGTCGTGTCCACCTTGGTCACCGTCGATCTTGGTCGACGTCAATTCGTGGATCATCCTCGCGAATCGGCGACGGCCGACATGGACCATGACACGGATTGGCATCGGCAAGGTCCCGCGACATCTTGGTCATGGTCCCCGTGCTTCTTCCCACGAGCAGTGCCCCCGCAGCAAGTGTCGTGCAAAACCGAAACCGCCGCTGTTGGGCAGGCGAGCTGGTGGTCTCAAGTGGACAACGACCGCGGCGACGCTGGCAGCGAATCCTGATCAGAACGAAGAAGAACTACGGTCGGACTTTGCACCCATTGATTCCGTATATACTTCGGCCTCCCCCGACCGACGACTCGGTGTCTCCGAGTCTCAGGGCCCTGGACCTCTCGACCCTCTCCCGAGTCATTGTCTGGCAGTCCCAGGGTCGAAACTGGCCTCCAAAGTGCCAATTCTGCAAAAGCAACAACAAAAAACAAGCTCGGCCTCTGTGCGTTCGAACCTTGATGTCTGGGGGAGAGGGGAGGGTAGTAGTACAACTAGATTCATAATATCATTGGTAGTAGTAGTAGTAGTAGTAGTAGTAGTAGTAGTAGTAGTAGTAGTAGTAGTAGTAGTAGTAGTAGTAGTAGTAGTAGTAATAGTAGTAGTAGTAGTAGTAGTAGTAGTAGTAGTAGTAGTAGTAGTAGTAGTAGTAGTAGTAGTAGTAGTAGTAGTAGTAGTAGTAGTAGTAGTAGTAGTAGTCGTAGTAGTAGTAGTAGTAGTAGTAGTAGTAGTAGTAGTAGTAGTAGTAATAGTCGTAGTTTTCGTAGTCGTTAGTAGTAGTAGTAGTAGTAGTAGTAGTAGTAGTAGTGGTAGTAGTAGTAGTAGCAGCAGCAGCAGTAGTAGTAGCAGTAGCAGTAGTAGTAGTAGTAGTAGTAGTAGTAGTAGTAGTAGTAGTAGTAGTAGTAACAGTAGCAATAACAGTAGTAGTCGTAGTCGTAGTCGTAGTAGTAGGCCTTTCGTAGTAGTCCGTTCGTAGTAGTAGAAAGTAGTAAGTAGTAGTAGTAGTGGTAGTAATAGTAGTAGCAGCAGCAAGCAGTAAGTAGTAGTAACAGTAGTAATAATGAAGTAGTAGGAAGTAGTATAGGTAGTAGTAAGTAGTAGTAGTAGTAGTAAGTAGTAGTAACAGTAAGCACTAACAGTAAGTAAGTCCGTAGTCTAGTCGTAGTAGTAGGCCAGTAGTAGTAGTAGTAGTAGTAGTAGTAGTAGTAGTAGTAGTAGTAGTAGTAGTAGTAGTAGTAGTAGTAGTAGTAGTAGTAGTAGTAGTAGTAGTAGTAGTAGTAGTAGTAGTAGTAGTAGTAGTAGTAGTAGTAGTAGTATAAGTAGTAGTAGTAGAAGTAGTAGTAGTAGTAGTAGTAGTAGTAGTAGTAGTAGTAGTAGTAGTAGTAGTAGTAGTAGTAGTAGTAGTAGTAGTAGTAGTAG